CTGTGAATAACTTTTTAGGGATAACATTTGAACTGGTTAGCGATGAGGAGATGATTACCGCAGCAGGTCCATATAAACGTCAAATCAGTGTATAACTATACGCGAATACCTCTATACTACGAGATAATGGTAATAACGTTCACAATCATAATGGATGGCACCAGGAAGCGCATTACCGCAGCAAGTACGAATAAACTTGAGAACTTTTGACTTTTGACAGGCATCATTTTGTAAGAAAATAAATTCAGAACAGTCCACTCCAACTTAGTCCGTGGATGTAATGGACCTGAAAGTAAGCATACATTCTATTGACATGTAAATAAAAAAATATATTTTTTTAAGGATAATGATTATATAAATATTTTTGAATTTCTGATTGCTCGGGGTAAAACTGTAATTTTGAACTATTAAATTCTGTTTGTAAAGGTTGACTTGTAGACGTTTGTGGGACAATATCAATTCTCGAATTTTTATTCATTTCAATATAATATAAGAGTTCGTCGCCTGTCAACGATGAATCCGTTTTGTCGTTCGGTAGAGTCTGCAGTAGCTTCTTTAAATCATGTTTATACTCATCTGTTTTCTGTATATATCTGTCGTATATTGTATGGATATTAATATTATTGAAATGTGCTTGTAGAATTGAATTTAAAAAATTTTTCATGAATGTAACTTTTTTTTGATATTTTTGATACATAATTGTCTTATCAATGACCGGTTCATACTTAGCAGATTTCACGGCGTGTATTGTTGTTGGAAGCTGAAACAAACACACAATTATATACATAATTGAAATGTCATAACCATTGCAGATATTTGAAGACAAACAAAAAAAAATTACATTATAAAATATTGATGTGGTTAAGTATGTTTCTTTTGTTATGATCAATATTTCATTTACTATTGGATGATTTCTATTTTTTTTTATTGCGTCGTGAATTTTTATTTTATTCGGTTCGTATATTGTATAACTATTGTATGTAGTAAGCGTCACATATTTTTCCTCTACTAATTCAAGTAGTGTCATTCTTAGATTTGGTTTTGTAATGAAAGAGTACCGCAGAATACACATTATGACTCTCATGTGTTTATATATATTGGATAACTGAGGACAAATAATTGGTAAATCATTAATTAATTTCAAATAATGATCTAGTATCAGACAGCATTTCGTAATGATAGTATTGTTAAATTATTTTAATAACTCTTATATATTTCTAAACATTATTACATACTGTGTACTTTTCAGTCGTCTGAGAATTTCCATAGTATACATACAAACATGCCAAAACCATTTCTTTATTTAATTCTTTAGTGTCTCGATTAGGCCCAAAGAATTGGACCACAGACCAATCTTCAATGTGTACGGTCATATTTGGAATTCTGGCTGCTAACCTGGTTTTTATAAATTGACATATTGTAATTATACAAAGTATGTGATAGAATATTGCATTTCATAATTTACTTTTTTTGACAATAATTTAGATTATTATGTGGATGGCGCCACCATGCACCCAGTGCTTCTGTAAATTCATGGAAGTGTTTATCAATAGCATACACATTTTTATAACAGAAAAATGGTAAGAAATTTAGAATCGCATTGCCGTTGCCGTCTATCAACCCATCAATTTGTTGGTGGTATGTATATACAAAATTCATAATTATAAACAGTTTTACAAGTTCTATTTTTTTTTTGCAGATAGCTTCTATTGTTCCAACCTCACACACTGTGACACTGAAAAATGAGAAGCAATAAGATCGAACTCCTCAAATTACTCATTAATTAGTTACACGATTATACTTACTCAGAAAGAATATCAGGCGAATGATATGAAATTATCAAGCAGAGGATAAAATCAATGCTGTGTATGGAGTTTGTTTGGCTAAGTATTTTATTAATATTTAATGTGAACGGAAAAGTGACGGACGGAATTGAGGTTTTAATAATATTTGGTGTCTTTAAGTTCGAAATGTCTGAAGGATTTTGAGGGTTGATGGGTAGTTTCATTGATGTTAAAAATTTTGAATAATTTTTAAGTGCTTCGCTGCGTAATATGTCTATGGTCTGTTTTTTGAAGATAGCAATTTTTTTTTTCCCTATTTTTTTGTCTATTTTTTCTAATGAATATTTGGTGGAAATACTGTTAAAAATTTTGGGATCTGACAACAAAATACTTGCTTCCAAGCCATTGGACTCAACATACTTAAAAACATTGTCAATGTTCTTGTATCTTGAGAGTGTCTGTTAATAAATATTGTGTAATTATTGTTAATTGTGTGATTGTAAATATATTATTAAAATTGATACATACATTTACATTTTTATTAATGCAATATTGAATTTTATTACACTTGGATGTTAAAATCAAATTTAATTGACCAACGCTGTTGATTCTACACCCATGGCTTTTAATAAAATGCAATAAAGTTGTTGACAACAAGTGGCTATTGCTGTTGAACTTTAACACTGCAGAAGCAACCGTATCTAATACATTCTATCAAAAAGAAGAAAATACCATATAGTAATGATAATATTATAGTACTATATGTAAAAAAAGCTTTTTTTTTTTGTTAAAAAAAAAATACATACCATTGAACGGTCTCTAGGTATTACGCCAGAGTATGGTTTATCGATATGCACATAACTTATGTGTTGCATTAATGTAAAATCAAATAAAAATTGTTCATCACAGAACGGACATCTTATGAAGATGAAGTCATATTTGTCTTTCGTCACATCGTAATGACGTTCAATGTCATTTCCAACATTAACTAAAACAAAAATTTAAAAAAAGTCCTGGACATTAGATGTTGCTGTGGAAACTTAATACCGCAGGAGGTCCATATATTGACATCATGCGGCAGCCGTATGGTATATTACAACTGGATAAATCTTACAAAATAACCGTCTAAATCGAATAATTGTGCTATCGACATGAAACCTGTACCATTTTATTAAACACGTCTCCAGCTACCATACCTGCTAGTTTCGTGTAAAAATACGAAAAACCCTGTAAGCACCGAGCTGACGGCTGGAGTGTGGCCGATCGCCCTAAAATCACCAGGGAGTTTGTGCAAATTTTGATTTCAAAAATTAATTAAAAATCTAATATTAAAAAATGTTCTAAATACTTACTAAAATCCTACTTATCGGTGTGTACTATAAAGACATATTGAATTAATATTTTAAACATTCTGTATGACGTATTTTGTACACTTATTATTATTAGCACACTTTGAATAATTATTTAAAAATAAACCCACGGTCATACAGCTACAAACAATACGTCCCTGTAAAGGGTAGGTAGTCTGCAATCCTGTGAATAAGTTTTTTTAGGGATAACATTTGAACTGGTGAGCGATGAGGAGACGATTACCGCAGCGAGTCCGAATAGATTGCATCATGCGGCAACCATTTGCATAAATAAAAACCACGCATGTGCCCGGCGTACAAAACGAGGCGCCGGACATGCTCTCCCGAAACCCGACCACCGGACCCCGGTAGACGAGGAACACCTAGAGGAACGACTAGTAGGAGTACCCACCACACCACCCATCACCACCACAAGCTCACCGGCCGACCATCTGTTCGCCACGACGGACTTTGTAAAGGGTAGATACTTTGCTATCCGGTGTACATAGAAGATATTACTCACAATCGTTGAATGATAACAAATTATTTCTTCGATGTCCTTGGCAGGGCAAATTTGCTAAATAAAGGACTGTACCACTTTTTGCCGCGTCCACAATAGCCTTGCTCCTTGTTGAGACCATAGTTCACGGATTTCAAATGACACAATGCGAAACAAAACAACAAACAGACAATAACAACGAGTGTTGAAACGATACTCAATAAAAAGGATTGATATTTATGACGCTTTCATAATAACATAGAAGTAAAACATATGCGGAAAACATACGTGTGTTATCTAATGCAAAAAACTATTTTAAAATAACCCACGGTCCTACAGCTACAAACAATACGTCCCTGTAAAGGGTAGGTAGTCTGCAATCCTGTGAATAAGTTTTTAGTGATTAGGTTAGAGACGATTACCGCAGCAGGTCCATATAAACGTCAAATCAGTGTATAACTATACGCGGATACCTCTATACTACGAGATAATGGTAATAACGTTTTGTAACTTTGGCGATACACTTTCTTAAGGTCCCCGAACAACGTCGTAAGTGCTGGTGTCGATCGGGGTAGTCGCGGTTTTTCGTCAAAAAATCGAGGGGTACCCCCCCGTTGAGAACTTTTGGTGTTTGTCCGGCATCATGCGGCAACGTTTGATATATCATGAATTTGGAAAATACGTAAAAAAATAAAANAGGAAGCAGATCGCGCCGCGCACTACCCGCGCTGGAATCGATTGCTTGTTCTCCGACGACGAGCTGAGAACATTGTCCGCCGTCGCCGTTCCGGCGAGGAGCCACATTGGTCGCCGACCAAGAATATCGTCACGTCGTCGAGCTACGCCGTCGCCGAATCAGGTTGATCAATTTATTTAGTCACCCGCGTGGTCAGTGGGCTGATGTAAAATTATAATTATTATTCGCCAGCTATGGCAAATTAGTCTTAAGTTTATTATTATTATTCTGGGCGCCCGCTTATCAAATTATTATTGTACCTACAAATATATGTGTTTCCGACCCGACAAAATTTGTTTTTGACCTACTTATTGCGTAACCCGGTCCCGCTCCAGCTTTCAGCACATTACGCGAGTCGTTGCCGACAACCGCCATAACCGTAGGATCGGTAACGGCGCAACATTTTTGGTAGCAGAGCGTGGTTGGTGGCCTTTGTAGGGAGGTTCAGCAGCGTTTTGTGTTGACTGCCGGGGCGCGTGGGTGGCCCGCGTGTGGGCGCACAGTGCTTTGGTAGGGAAAAATAGTTGTATTATAATTTAATATATCGTTCATTGCGCGAAGCCGTGATTAAAACGCGCGGTGACAGGGTGGTATAAGGTACCAGTTATCAGGGTACCATATTATACTGCGTCATGGCGGGTGGAAATGAGGTTGAGCTCGAGCGTACAGAACGCGCGGTAGAGCGCGCCAAGACTAGGCGGACGAGTGTGATAAACCAGATTAAGACTGTGCATAATTTTGCACTGCGGCTTGAGGCGGAGCCTGCGCTAGGTCCGACTGTGACAAATTTAGCCGGTGATTTAGATGCGCTATGGATACAGCTTAGGGCTGAGGATGATGCCGTGTTGGACGGCCTGTGTGAGCTCGGTAAACTTTCCGAGTATGATGATGGGTTACTGGCCGAGGTGCGGACTTGTGTGAGTTATTGCAAAGTCGCGGCGGAGAAGTTAGCCCCAAAGGGAGCTGAGATTATCGATTTGTCGTACCTTAAGGATAAGTTAGGGTCTACCGGTCAATCAGCGCCAAACCCCGTGCTCGCGTGCACAACACCGCCGACACGGTTACCTGAGATTCCGCTCCCGGAGTTCAACGGGGATTTCCGATTGTGGCCAACGTTTCGCGATAGATTTACGGAACAGGTTGATTCGCGTGATATTTCAAACAACGATAAAATGTATTATCTTTTAGGCTGTCTCAAGGGCGACGCGGCCGACGCATTACGTGGTATTCCCGTGTCCGCAAATAATTATGTGCTCGCATGGTCAGTGTTATCCGAGCGGTTTTATCGACCGCGATTAGTTGCTACGTCATTAATAGATAAGTTGTTAAACTCTCCAGTTATGTCGCAGGAATCGTTATCGGACCTTAATAATTTTATAAGTACGTTTAACGAAAATATTTCGCTACTCGAAGCGCTCAATGTACCGAATATGGGGTCTTTTATCTTATTCACGCTCGCGTTCAGACGTCTGCCTGTCGCTACGCGTAAGTTATTCGAGTCGGGCAGCAAGGCGGAGTTTCCGTCAATTGGCGAGTTATTAAAATTTGTTCGCACGCGTGTATCTATATTGGAGCTTGTCACTGACCCGCAGAAGGTTGGTACCGCGGCTGTGCCAGCGTCTAAGGCGGGCAAGCCGTCAGGTACAGCGCGCAAGACGGGAGACTACGGCGGGAAATCGAACGGTCCCCGGCCGATGTCGTTCGTAACGGCAAAGGGGGACGCGAGTTGTCCGTGTTGTGCCGACTCACATTCGCTAGGCGTTTGTACACGTTTCAAATCTTGGTCGGCAAAAGGTCGTACCAAATGGGCCCGTGAGAATCGGGTGTGCTTTAATTGTTTAAATGTAGGTCATTGGATTCAGACATGTAGGTCGCGACCTAATTGTAAGGAATGTTCGCGTAAGCATCACACGCTTCTCCACTTGTCACCCGACGAGATGCAGGGTGGGGAGGAACCACCACCGGTCGAACCGGCGGTGTGTGCGTCTGTTGTGAATCCCCCGTCCCTCCACCGGTCGTCCGCTGTTGTTTTAGGTACCGCGCTCGTGCATGTGCGAGATAACACCGGCTCGGTGAAAACACTGCGGGCGTTGGTAGACAGCGCGTCGCAGGTCAGCGCCGTTACCGCCGTGTGCGTGAAACGTTTGGGTCTAAAAATGTCGCGGTGGACTGCACCGATAAGCGGGTTGTCGGGGACAACAGTCGCTGAAGTTCAAGGTCAGGTTGAGTGCATAGTGCAGCCGCGTTTCGCGTCTGATCCGATTCTGCCGGTGCAGGCATGGGTGTTACCAACCATTACGAGCGATTTACCTCAAAAGTCATTATCAATAGATATTAAGAATCGATATTCTTATCCATCCTTTCATTTGACGTCGCCGATCGACTTGTTGTTAGGAGGGGACGTGTATGGTTCTATCATGGACGGGCGTAAGGTGTCGATCGACAGTACATTACCTACTGCTTTTAGTTCGGTGTTCGGCTGGATCCTTATCGGTCCGGTTCCCGATCGCGCAAATTGTTATTATCATTCGTTGCCGGTGTCAATGACCGCGTCGATAGAGGGGATCATGGAGCGCTTTTGGCACGTCGAGGAGCCCGAGGACGCGCCCGTTACGTTTACCGAGGAAGGGTGCTGCGAACAGATATTCCGCGACGAAGCTACGCGTTTGACATCAGGTCGCTTCGCGGTTCCATTACCATTTCGCGCGCCGGCAGAGACGTTCGTTGGGTCTCGCGAGGTAGCTACACGGCGTTTTGACGCTATCGAGCGTAAACTGTCCGTGAGCCCCGTATTAAAATCATTATACGTTAATTTTATGTCCGAATATATCGCATTAGGACACATGTCAGTGGCGACTTCCCCGGGGCGATATATAATCCCCCACCATGCTGTTTACCGTCCGGAAGTCGATCCTAATAAAATTCGTGTAGTATCATGAATTTGGAAAATACGTAAAAAAATAAAAAGTAGTGTGCTTATTCAATATATTATAACTATCAAGTAAGGATCAAAAATTTAATTTAATTAAGAAAACAATATTATATGAAAAACGCTGGCAAAAAATACTTTTATCACAAACATTTATACAATACAGGGTGATTCATTTAAATGGATACACTAATTATCTCGAAAAGTATTAACTTTTTTTGATTTGTTTTTTTTTTTAACTTCTAGGTTTATGTTTTTTCTAAAACAATTAATTAAAGATTACCATTAGCATATTAAGGTGTAATAAGACATTCAATTATAATCAGGTACAAAGTACAACAATTATCAATATTGTTATCTATTAGGTCGTACGGTATCGAATTTATCAGTTATAGCTCCTGGACTTTACAAATGAAGAAATAGTTGAAACAATGCCACATTTACCTCCTTCAAATACCAATACTTTGAGGAGCTGTAACTCGCAAACCAATCAATTAAATATAAAAATGTTAACGCTTAAATTCATAATAAAAATGGTTTTATTAATTTATGATATTTTTATTATATGTTACCATTTGAAAATCAAAAGTTGATAGTGGTTTCACCAATAAATATAAGGGTAAAAAAAATTTAATTTGTATACGGTTCTAGAAAAAACATAAACCTAGAAGTTTAAAAAAAAAAAAAATCAAAAAAAGTTAATACTTTTCGAGATAATTAGTTTACCCACTTAAATGAATCACTCTGTATACATTATCAACCATACTTCTTATCAATATTATTAACCTGGTATCGATTATTTTCCTTACCGCATTCACATGGTATACCATATCAATATTGTTTACCGTGTTTATCTTATTTTTGATAAGGTGATTTGTGAGTCGCTTCACTATTCTGATAACTAACGGTCGTCATTATTTTGTTATGATCATTATGGTCGTTTCTATATCCGTTTTTTTAAGAATTCCCGGCCCTTTTGGGGCTTAGGGCCCCCCTTCCAGTTTTAAATCGTCTTTCGGGTGTTTACAAAGGTTCCTCTACTGCGAACGCACGTGAAATAATATATATCGCGTCGCCGTTAGAAATTCGAATGCCCGTCTTAGTGGTCCTAAGTTTTTTTTTCGAGATTTCCTCAATTTTTTTTCCCTGGTTTTATTCGCATTTTGACCTCCCCTAACAACCGAAAATACTCCTAGTGCAACTCGCTATTTGATTTGTTAATAAAATCAATTGGTTGTATCTGGTTAAATGCGTCAAAAAGTGAATACAAATTTGCTAAAACAACTTAAGACAAGGTCCCGAGGGAAGTACGTCGAGCCGGATTGTATATTTCAAATAAAAATTTAAAAAAAAAAAAAAATATTAAATTAACTATTTTAGGGACGGTAATGGATTGATTCTTGTTCTTGGTGGTTGTTTATTAGGTGTAAAATTTCTTCCGTTGTGTATGAGGAGTCCTTTGTTTTTTTGGGTAATACCTGTAGCAAATTTTTTAATGTGTACTTGTAATTTTTAATTTCGTTGATATAATGTTCTTCAATGTTGTTAGTTGTGATATTGTTGAAATTTGTGTGTAGTATGTTCTCTATGTATTGTTGTGTGTATATAATTTTTGTTTGGAACCGGTTGAATATATTGTTGTTATTGTACTGACTGTGTTTTTTGATTTTGTTTTTAGGGTTGAAGTTGTGTGGAAGCTGAAACAAATACACAATGAAGAAGATAATTTGAAGTTATGAATTATTGCTGGTATAAGAATAAAAGAAATAAAGTTACATTATAAAATACGCCTGTTGTATAGTACGTCTCTCTGCTGATAGTCATTATTTGGTTTATATATTTATTGGTGTTGATGTTTTTATTTATTTCCTCCATAATTTGTTCCATATTCAAATTATATATTATGTGTGTGGTAATAAATTAAATTGTCAAATAATTTTGAAATACTAATTCTTTTAATATTTTTTTTAAAGACTTTTTGTCTATGAAATTAAATTTTATTACACACATTATTATTGTAATGTGATCATAAATATTTAACAACTGTAAAAAAAAAAATTAAATGCTATTAATAAATTTTAAATAATGATATGTAATGAATTTTAAATAATTATATGTGTTTGAGCCCAAAAGGCACGTACTATTATAAATTATAATACGTACAATTTAATAATATATATACATGTATACGTTGATAATGTATAATGGAATAGCTGGTCACACACACACACACACACATTATTTGTTTATTTATTTTTGTTTAATTATTATTGTCATGTGAGTTATATAACATATAATATTATGCAATTACGCCTTATCGTCCGACGTAGGCCGGCTGGAACGCAAAGGTTTAGCACGGCCGCCGTAAGTCCGATCAGTCGACATAAGATACCAGTACCGTACGTTATAAGGGCACCGGCGTGCGTCGAATGAGTTGAAAATCTCACACGTTTTT